TGTGTAACTTTTTTAGTATCCCATTTTAATTTTAATTTTTATTTAACAGGAACAATATATAAGACATTGCCTTCTAAAATTTGGATAATTATATGCATGTAAAACATTTAGCTTCAGTGTATTTGCAATTTTAGTCTCTGGTCAGGCTTGAGAATGTATTAATTTATATTTATTGAATACAATAAAAACTAATTAATACAATTAATAAATAGCATCAATCAATACATTTTAGACACTTGTATATGTCTGAGTGCCTCAGCAATCTAAGTGTACCGGGTTAGTGTATATGCTGTGTCCATGCAGAACTTGTGTTTACATTTATTTGGTTTGTCTTTGTCCACAGACATCAGTAGATGTAAAGAGGACCCGCCAATGCAGCCAGAGCTAAAACAGTTTCCCAGGACCCTGATGGGGGACAGGAGAAGGAGCTTCAAGGCAGGCTGGTACCATATCCACCCCTGGCTTGAATATTCTCAACAGATGGACTCGGCGTATTGTTACGCTTGCAGATATTTTAGCCCTCCTAATACTGTTTTTTTCTCATCACTGTAATGTTATGACTACAATGCTTTGAAAGTTTGATGAAGTAAAAAGTCAAATAATATTTCGAATCTGCCTTTTTAGCCCTGGGTTGAATGTGCCCCTCCATCAAAACCCCCGGCCCCAGCCCGGCCCCCTCAGTGAAACTGATCTAGAACCGCCGCTGCTGGAATGACTTGAGTATCAAGCAGTGGCGGATGCTGGTCTGTCAAGGAGGGTAAGCTCAATTTTGGCCGACATCATAAAATGTGTCAGTTTATATAAACGCGAATTCTCCTCTCCGTTCCTTTTCAAGAAAATTATCTGTAACCCTGTCATACCAACAAGGCGTCTTTTCCAGGAACTTAACTAGTGTCCTACAACTACAGCAACTACAATAAAACCCACCAGTAATAAAAGATTAATTCGTTACTTATCGTTTTCAACAAAGAGAGTGTCGCTAAGATGATTAGAAGTCGTCTCCAGTTCAATTCAGAACAGAATGAGAATTGAAAGTGCTCCCACGGATGCCTACACTAAAAGATCGGTGATTGGCTCATTTCGATGTCATTCAAACTGGAACACGGGTTCCGACAGATCATCCAATCTGATGCAGAAAAACAGCGTCCGGTACCCGCCCACTGCCATCCAGTCCCAGAGGCGCAGACTCCCGAGACGCTCGGCGCCCGGGCTGGAGACACTCAGCGGACGCTCAGCGGATGCTCAGCGGACGCTCAGCGTCCACCGTTTAAAGCACAGCGAAGCTGCGGGAATAAATGAGAAGGGAGTCGAGTCGTAACCGGTAAGAAGAAGCTGATTCGGAACAAAAGTTGAGCACGTTGTAGCGCATATTTAGTCAATGACATGTACACACAATGAAATTTACATTCATATATTTGATCATTTATTCTTTGACATTTTAGGGGAAGCTGAGCTTCCCTTGCAGTCCGAGAGCAATCGCCGCTGCTCTCAAGTATCTATTTTTATCAAAGGTTTTTTTTTTTTTTTTTTTTTTCATTGATGATTTCATTTCAGATGACACATAAATCATGGCTCATAGTCCAAATCACCTGACATTTAAAGGGATCGTATAAAAGTCGTCCCTGCTCGCCCTCTGTCATTTCATCCTCTTTGGGGAGTGTTGCAACCCGGGGACTCGCCTCCATCCGCCCCAGTGTGGCCTTGTGCCCGCACATGCACGCTTCAAAACATTTCCAGAGGACTCTCGCATTTCACTTGGCCATTGGTAGCCCGCTGGAGGATGACATCCATCCAGCTGTACTGCAGGAACGGCCGACAGCACCTCCAGATTCTCCCCGATGGGACCGTCCAAGGCCAGAACGATGACACTGACGTTCACAGTAGGATGACGCCTTCATTGACCCTGCGCATAGTTACACACGCTTGTTCCATTCAGAGAACCGATAAAAAAGCTATCCCATTACAGTATTTACGGCATAATTTGATAATCTGTGGAATTATTTGAATTGTTGACACAAGTATGAGAACATTTGAGGCAGGAGCTATTTCAAATCGCTCTTAAAATTGGGGGCTTTATGGTCACATTTGATATATATATGGGAGTTATTTATGGGAATGTCAAAAAAAAAATCCGAAAGAGCTGAACAGTTGGAACTTGGAATGGAAAAGATGCGGGTTATATTGTTGAATGTCAAAAATAAACATGGAATGTTAATTGAAGACTCTAAATTATATGTAGGTGTGAGTTTTGATCGACCAAATCATATAGACGAACTGTACTGCTTTGAATATGTTGATTGAACCCAGATAAATTAAGTTCCTAGTAGTGTTGAAGTTCAATCAATCAATCAATCAATCAATCAATCCAATTGGTTTATGATTAAAGGAAATCATTTCATGTTGTGGTCACTCTTTCCATGTTTTTTTAACTCCATTGAAAAATTCAATTGGCATCGATACACCCCCCTCCCCCTCCACAACCTCCAACTCAGCTCATATCTCGCAGCAAATAGTGCTGCATTCATTTTGATGATTTATGTTATTTTCTCAGCTTTTTTGCAGCTTACGGCTGTGGCTCCAAGTGTGGTGGTGATCAAAGGCCAAAAAACAGGAAAATATTTGGCCATGAATGGGGAAGGTAGTTTGTACACTTCGGTGAGTGTCTGTCTGCCCACCGTTCGTCAACGTGGATTCCAGATGTGTAAATATGACATCTGATTCAAAGGACTTTTTCCCTCTTTCACATGTTGTCTCTCACTCAGCCTGTTGCAAATGATGACTGTCACTTCCTGGAGAGGCAGATGGAGAGCAAATACAACACCTACCAGTCTCAGAAGTATCGGGGAAAAAGCTGGTACGTGGCGCTGAAGAAAAATGGGAAACCTGAGCTGGGTCCCAACACGAACATTGGACGAAAGGCCATTTTATTCCTGCCCCGCCCGCTGCACTGAAGCATCCTCATTAAGCTGTATAGGTTTCACCCAAACATGCTTTAAAATCTGAACGTAATAAATTACAACCCCCAACACCAGCAAATTTTGCTGCTTAAACTAGTGGCCCCTAGTGGCCGTGGTTTGCAACAACCGGAATAATACGGTTCGAGTAAAAATGTGAATGCAAATTCGGTCTTTGGCTAACCTACTCAATGCAGTTTTGTAGTAAAGTCACAATTACAGTGCATGTGTGAAAAACAATCCTAGGTTGTAGATAAAAACCAAATGAAAAACTGTTTTAAAAATGTTTCCCCAAAAATCCATGTACAGTACATCTTAAAAAGGACATCCACACACTACAGTACACTATAGCAAAATTTAGTCCAGTCTGTTAGGTTTAGGCCAGTTAGCTGCCAACGCGTCTCGTGGAATTAAAAAAAAAACCGCATACTTAATACCACCCTGGCTAATGTGAAAAAATGGCTTAATGGCACCCTGGCTTATGTGAATGTGTTTTGTGAAAAGGGAGAGTAAATAAAAAGGCTGTTTGAGTAAAGATTACCTTACTTTTTTCTTTTGTAGCTTTAGCCATCAGGAAGTAAAGACCACTCAGGAAAAAGCTATTTTAAAGTGACATTTATTGAATTAAATCTTCCCTTCTGTACAGCATCACAACAAAACCTCATTGATGTCGTTCTAGATCACTTTAAATGAGCATTAAAGCTGTGACAGTGAAGTTGAAATCATTAAGGCTAAAACGAAAACTTGTGCTTCAACAGAGAATCTTTCTGGCATGCAAATAAGAATAGTCACGCACTCGGATTTTGTTTCAGCTTGAGGTCAAATGACGATTTCTGACAGTTGTGTATTGAGAAAAGTGCACCTGCATACAACATTCTTTGATAAAGTTGTACTTTCACCCACAAGAAGGGTGAAAGGAGACCTAATTTTCAAATACATGAAAATGAACAAGATGACAGTCGGAGGGGGGAAGGAAATGACTATGTCACGTTTGGGCATCAAAGTGGCAAATAAAAAGCCCAAAAATCTTCACTTTTGTGGTGATGCCAGTAAAAATGACCCAGAATATTGGTACTTTCTTATTTAATTGTCATTGGGAGATCACAAAATGTGTTCTTGAACATCTCACACTGACTTGAAGTGATTTTAATGACTAAAAGCATTTCATCTGAATTGATAAACAACAAAAACAGGGCAAAATAACATGTGACACAAGGGTGCAATTTTAGACAGTGCACCCGAGTTGTACACATGCATGACAAGCACGTACACTAAACCAGTGATTCCCAGCCACTCAATGTGCCACAGAAAAGTACAGTATCCAATTTCACTGAAGTGGTCTGAAAATAATTTATTCACCACCACAAACGTATCTTTGTTCGTCTATCTATGTCAGCAAGATAAAGTGGCAGCCATAACAATGAAATACTCTTCCACTGGATGTCAAAAGCTACAATTAGCGTGTGTGTTGACTTATCATGAGATTTTTCTCTTTTGGTGCCGTGCGCCTTGGCTCAATCAAGGTTGGGAATCACTGCACTAGTTGTATCGGGAAACACATTCTGTGTGCCATCACTTGTATCCATTTATCATTTGTCTCTGCTTGGAACGAATGCCCTGAAGGAACCACCCGGGGCAGGAGACAACACTGCTAACCCTCAAGCTAACAGTTGAGTGAGCAATGTGGCGTAATCATTTACAGCTAGCTGTGCAAGTGTGTGAAGAGAGCCTATATAACCGTCACAACAGAAAAAAACCACCCCCCAAAATGCGTATATGGCGAATGTTGAATCATGAAGACGTGCAGTGACTTCCAGCCTCTCCCGGGAGAGCAAAAGTCATGCTTGTAATTCTAGCAAAGCAATATTAAGGCATCACTTATTAAACATTACACACAAGATGGAGAGAACATGCGCCGCTAATGACGACACTGAGGGACAAGTACTGCTAACCGCTTTCCATAAATACGAAGACAAACAAAAAGAGTTGACGATTTCCTCAAATGGTTCGCTCGCTTAAGAGCCGTCTGGATTTCTGCGTCATGTCGTCATGTCATTGTCCTCCACATCTGACCAGCAAGTTGAGAAAATAGAAATGCTGTTAGTTGTCCCACACAAATAACTTAAGCGGAATTGATCCAACTGCCATTGAGGTCATCACTTTTGTCACTGCACTACATCTGGTTACACAGGGACTGACAGTGCTTCACATAGTTAGACAGTCAGACTTGTAGAAAACACAGAAACTAGGGCTTCATGATTTTGAAAATTGTTCAAATTGCATTTTTATATATCCTCAACATTGTAAATTAATGTACAATTTTTTTTCGAGGCCCTCTCACCTGTACACACACAAGAAGCCGACTGAGATGAAGCAAAGGAAACAAAGAGAAGACTCACGCACTGATTTCTAAATAAGCTGTAAAGTGTACTTGTCTGTGTATTGTAAATACCACAAAAAAAATAAACGATAGCGAGGGTGTGTACCATGAACCATGATATGGTGGGATTTCAACACAGCCAATTATTTTGGTCTCGCGAATGCCTGTCCGCCCATAAAATGAGAAACTGCCAATCAAGCATATCTTCAGCTCTCTGCCCATTTCCGAAAATGTGTAAGCGAGTGAGCCGGTCCGCACTCCCGCCTCGCTGTTACGCAACGACATCGTGCCGCACTGACCTCGGTCTAATAGATGAAGAGCACCCTTGTTCGGGGTAGACTGGCATAGGTGGGATCAGCCAGCTTGCGCACTCTCGAGTAGTTGACGAAGCCTCTGACAAACAGCATGAAGCCTGCAATGCAAACAACTGGGAGAATTCCGTCTAAAATAACAAAAGAAAATTGTGGGGGGGGTTTTGTTTTGTTTTTTGAAACTCACCCAAGGCCAAGAACACCCACCACAGCCAATACTGGCCGTCAAAGTAGCCTGGGAAGTAGGTGGAAAACTGCAAAGAGCGGCAGTCAACCAATCAAAACACGAGCGACAGTCCACATCCATAATTCATGCGAACTAGCTCTCACCCTGACGATAAGAACCCATTTGATGAGGGACAAACCAAACCCCGAGATGGCTCCGTATCGACCGGCAGCTGACGTGGTCAAACAGAACGACAAGAAGAAGCCGATCCAGTTGAAGAGAAACGCCACTGAAAGACAACACCACCTCAGAACTCACCGAAGTCAAAGGATCACCGACACTGCTTTTCTTTCTGGCGAGAGCAGTTTAATACAGAAGCAATTCAGTCATATGACTTGTTAGTCGGTTTTTTGTTCATCTTGAAAAATGACATTGTGAGGATGAATTGTTCACCGCTAGATGGCAGGCATCTCACGAGGGGGGTCTCCAAATCTGAGACTGCATTTCTAAAAAGAGAGTTCCTGGCCGGCAGCAAGACTACATCAAGAAAATTGCGTTGTCAGGTAAACTGGGAGGCAGATTATATGTTGAGTGAATTTAAAGACTAAGCTATCTGCATTGTTTGCTTAGAAACACACACTATCAGCCAAGACTTCAACCTCAGTCGCCACTGCATAACTGACCTTGAAAGGTAAACAAACACCAGCGAACCGTTCACAGTTCGTTTGAAGCGCATGAGGCGTTGCACAATTTGTGTCGCCAAAACATGGATAAATTCAGCACTTAATAGAGTTGCAAACACGTAAAGTGGCTCAAACAGCTGGCGCTTCCGCGATGGTGCAGAGGGGACGAATTATAGGGACAAACTTTACTGCCTTATCCTGCACTGTGCTCACACAGCTGAGTGAGCCAGCCTATTAATTTGGGGATTTTGATCGACATAAACATACACTAGTCTAATATTGAAATCTTTGAGCAAGTTGATTTTTGTGAAAAGGTAGTAGGATAACTTTGGCATACTAGCGGGACAACTAAACTACCAGTCAAACGCCTGGACACAGTTCTAAGTTTCGCCAAACGAGAAAGTGTGCGAAAACCTTTTTGAATGGTATAGTTACGAGTAATTGTACACAGTACACTAGTTGACAACTGCATGCTACTAGTGGCATTATAAAATCATGTTAACATCCAGCGCCTGAGTAATCGTACGAGTAGCACGCAAATGTTTGTTTGTGCAGTTTTGTCTTACCTGTATGCCAAAGTTGTCCAAATAGTGTGCAGAAAAGTCACACAGCAGTGGAAGGCCGTATAGTAAATAAAGCACTCGTAAGACTCAAGTCATTCTCAAAAGTGCACCTGAGTTGTTCTACTAATGCACTGAATGTTCTCCCAAGGCAAAAAAATTCACCTGTTAGCCGATTCTGTGCTCAGGCCAAAGCCCTGTCTTATATTATGACTACTCTTTGGGGGCGGGTGTGGGGGGGCGCGGGTGTCAAGGTACTAGCGGCTGCAACCCTAATCAGAAAAAGCTCTCGAGAAAATGGATGGATGAAAAGTGAACAAATTGGAGGTGTATCAGCGTCACGGAATAGATCACGTTCCACTTCATCAGTTCCAATGCAGCACAGTGAAAAGCGGACATTTGTCCAAGGGAAGAAAGCGAGTGACATGTTTCTTACTGAAGAAAGTGAGCATGAAGATGCCGTCGTTGCCGATTCGCAGCTGGTCAGTATCCTCAAAGTCATCTCGGGCCACAAAGTCATCCTCCTGGCAAGCAAGTATGTGAGTCAGTAGTAATGAGCCTCTGGCTCGTGGCAGTAAATGGATGAGCGGCGAGGGAGCAAAGAAAGTACCGTGACTCTTCCGGTGACGAGGGGGACGGCAGCCTCCGCTTTGCTTCTCTCCGCTTCGTCGTAGGAGGGCAAAGTTGTGGCGACGCTGTAGGACGGAGGGTTGGGGAATCTGTCGCCATCTTCCTTGTACTCAAAGAAAGCTGACGGGGAGAAAGACAAATGAGATTTTTTTTTCCTTCACATTTTTTAACATCAAGAACAAATTCATTTTCCTGAAATTGTGCCTTTGCATTGAGCACAACACCGGAGTGGGTGCAGCAAGCACACACTAATAGTGGCACATGCTGGAGCAGTTTCAAGTTTCGAGATCTTGCTTTGGGGCACCACGGCTCCGGGTCCAGGAGGGGCCTTGTGGGCGGAAGGTCCATTTCGGCAGAGAACAAATTTATACACCAGTTAAAAAGTACCATTATCCGACCACTAATGCAGGACTGGATCAATTGATATTGAAATCACGATTCATAATCACTATTATTCATTTCAAGATTTTGCATTCTTCAATCCCCAAAACTCAACTCAAGTTTTCTTCACCAGATGTTCGATGCGGCCCCGCTGGCGTGAACAGGATGTTCTAATCAATATTGCCTCGATGGAACACGAATTAAGTTTTTTAATAACAGAAGGAGTATATCAAACTCCCCAGTTGCACAACAAATCTGTTCCAGAATAAGAAATATAGAGTCACTATAAATTGCCAAGCAGTAAAAAGGAGAGGTTAAAAAAATACTAACACTAAATCAACATGCATTGGTGCCAGACTAATGCTGATGTTTAGCATTTCTCCCACTTGTTTGGTCCAACTCTGAGGACTCCCTGTATGTGATAAGGCAGAATACAGCGTCCGAACCTGCATTAGCTGCGGCAACGCTGCTGTATGGGGGAGGTGCATCCGGGGAAGGACCCTCTTGAGATGTCGGGAGCGGCTCCTCCTCATTCACCAGCTGTGTGATAAGGAACAACCTGTCAATACCAAATGCCGCATTTGGCCAAAGCTCTTCATGCTGACGAGGAGGAATGCATTAACCCAAGTATCGCCTATCGATCAACAGACTACTGACTAAATCAATATTAAAAGTGCATAATGTGCATCGATGTCACATGCAAAAAGTAATGGGAAAATATCTTATTATATCTAAATACTTTACTAATAATAAACACACATTTTCTCCCATTTCTTATATAGAACATGTATTGAATGTTTATCATTCTGAAAAGAATTTTTGGGTGTAATTTCCAGCCCTCCCACAAAGCATTTCAAAGGTGTCAATGATATGCAGGTTTTCAGTACCTGTAAGATGTTCTGGCCGCTATTGTACGACGGATGTAAACATAACATGAGCAAACGTACACGCTCGGTTACATCTTATTAGTGCTCAACCAATTAATCGCCGAGACCATTTATTTAATTGTCTCATATTAGCTCTTTTAAAATCTATCCATCCATTATCTGAACCGCTTTATCCTCAAGAGGGTTGCGGGCGCGCCGGAGCCTATCCCAGCTGTCTTGGGCCAACAAGGGAACTGGTTGCCAGCCAATCGCAGGGCACACATAGACAAACAACTACCATTCACGCTCCCGATCACACCTCATGACAATTTAGGGTGAGCAATTAACCTACCATGCATGTTTTAGGAATATGGGAGGAAACTGGAGTACCCAGAGAAAACCCATGCAGGCACGTGGTAAACATGCAAAGCCATAACCTTTGCACTGTGGGGCTTATGCGTTAACCAGTCTACCACCATGCCACCCCTCTTTTAAAATATAATTTTTAAAAAAATAAATTTTTGCTTTTTGTTTTTTTCTTCACACATCAACACATAACAGAATCAGACGAAGACAATATTTAACACGCCCCGCCCCCCCCCCAAAAAAAAATCAGTAAATAAAAGGCAAATGTCTATTCTTCACTGTTCTAAAGTTACACAAACACAAAAGGACAACCTCACATGTTCTCCCTGTAATTCCAATCTTTGTTGTTGTGGTAAAGGCCCAAAAGAGAAGTTATTTTACTCCTTTTTTTCATCAATGGCCAATCAAATCGGTTTTCGGAATTTTATTTTACTCAGAATCGATATGAACCTAAAATAATCGCATCGGTCGGGCACTAGTTGTGATATAATAATGTGTTACAGGTTTGCTCGATGTTATGCTCTTCATTCCGTGCAGTTTATATTTCTCTGAAAATATGAAATTACTGTTTATTTACATTTTCATTTGGTTCCATTGGCGAGTAAAATTCGGCTGATTAGTGAACACCAGCTAATGCTGGGGGAAAAAACAAAACCATGTCCAAAGTATCAAATGCGCTAAACACACGGTTCATAATGCGTTTTTGTTTATTTGCGTAGAATTTAATGAATACAAAAGAGCTATATAATCAATTAAGATACGTTCGTTATGGCCAGCGACAGGCTAACAAGTAGCTAACGTGAACAGACAGCAGGCTAGCGTCGGTCGATTACGCCTGACGAGACTTTACCTCTTGATATCTGACGTTGCTGTTTTGCTCAGCCATCGTAGATGAGGAGTTGTGTGTTGATTAAAATATCCTCTTCCAACGCTGGGGGAGGTAAAAATACGGTGAATCAGAACGGCCCTCGCCGACGAACGGGGGTTTGTTCGGTTGCCTCGAATCGGCCACCTTTTCCTTCCTCCACAAGCTTCTCCAACAACGTCTGATGATGCCTTCACGGCTTTCGGAAAACGCGCATGCCATTATTGCACGTCACAGCTAATCTAATTCCATACAAATCTACAAACAAAAACGTAATACTACAAAGCTGTAATGTCTGTTATAAGAAATAATAACCAACGGGAGTTATTTAAGATATGTTCTTTTTTTCGTACAGTTACACTTATTTACTATTGAAGGGTTCCTGGTGTACATAAAGGCAACACTTGTGGGACAAGCAGCATCCTTCCAAGTTCATCTGTAAATGATTTTATTATAAATGTGAAAGAGCAGTACAACCGAAGATTTGTTTCATAATCAATGTTTCACAGCCAAGATATAAATGGATTATTGGAATGTTTACATTTTTAAAAAACGTGTAATCCCAAAAATTGAACGAAGAGTCTTCATTTCTTGGGCTCTAAATCTTGCGGCAACTCTACCAGCTTGTTGTGCACATGCATCATCCCTACAGGAGAGAAAAATAAAACAAGAATAAGAATTTTGAAAATGTATCTTGTCTGATGTTTTACAGAAACTACAATTTAAAAAAAGGATCACAGGCTCAAATTATCATATTATTTTAAGATGTTTTGACGTTATGAAATAATCATGTTATTTCAAGATATATTTATTTATTTACGATATTTTCACATTACACAATAAATTATAACACTGAAGAGTTGTATCGCAAGGATATCACATGAATGAATTGTATTCTACAGGGTGCATGAAAAGTAACTAGACCTTGCTGATAAAAATCCTGAGTATCACTGACGTCATTCTGATTACAATGAACAAGATTTCTTATTGTCTTATTTCTTGGGTCACTTAACTGCTCAACAGTGAGCAAGAATAGGAATTTATTCTCTTTTTCTTAGTTTTACTTTCATTTTCCCGTGTAATTATACATTTGCAATAATTATATGGATTTGTTTACCAATTTTTATTGCCAGGTTACTTTTCACCCACCCTGTACTTTGTATTGGGTTTGAGGCACAGTGACATTCTGCAGTTATGTTTCCCATGGATGAGATTGTTATCAGTGTGTTTACTCAAGGAGGATTTTGAAGAACAGAGCCAACCCAATTGAGGTGGCGTCATTCCTCATTTATAGCTGGAATGGTATGGATACAAACGTCATAAGTTCATGTGACAACACGAAAGAGACTTTTCGGGTAATTCCGTGATACTTTTCATATAATTACATGATTCTGAGTCTTACTTTTTTTTTTTTTTTTTAAGTCTGACATCAATATATAAATCAGTATGTATTGTATTGTATTGTATTGTATCAATACGCTTCTGAAATATTGTGTTTGAATCTCACCTTTAAAATATTTCACAGTTTTAACCCTCAGTTCCAGAGTGGCGTCTTCGTCACACACAAAAACAGTTTGTGGGTGCTGCTGGAATGCAGACACGGTCCACATGTGGTTCACACCGTCTTCTATGGCTTTGTACAAAGCAAAGGCCTTGTGAGGTCCAGTGATGAGAATCATCACCTGTGGAGACAATGAATACACTTAGTATACGCAACACACTGACAAAACAAACAAACCAAATAAAACTTGCCCTCTTGCATTTTGGTGACATATTAAAGGGGAAGTCAACCCCCAAATTTTCTTTACAATAATCTGTTCTACGTGCCTTCACTGGTCTAAACACTTTATTCTGATTAACGTTGCAATTATGGAATATGATTTACACAGAACAATCCACCTGTTTTTAACCATCTCGGTGGGGGCAGCCATTTTGCCATTTTCTGTCAGCTGAAAATGACCTCACAGTTGCTCAGGGCTCAGGTAACGACTAATCATGGCTCACCTGTTTTCTGAGGCCATGAACTCCTATTTCATCCACATATGTAATATGAATCACAATGCCATGTTCAGATTAGTGGGGCCGCAGAGAACATGTTCTTGTGAAGACATTTTTTGGGGGGTCGACTTCGCCTGTTTGAGGACGTGTCGACACTGATCTTGACTCTAACCTCCTTGGCATCCATGACGGTGCCCACTCCAACAGTCAGTGCCATGGTGGGCACTTTGCTGAGGTCTCCATCAAAGAATCGAGCATTGGCCACAATGGTGTCCCTTGCCAAAGTCTTCACCCTGGTCCTAGACGCCAGGCTTGACCCAGGCTCATTAAAGGCGATGTGGCCATCCGGCCCGATTCCTGAGGTGACAGGAAGAACATTTGCGTGATGTAACAGATTGACCTCTGTCAGAGTTTTGTCCATAGATTTCTCTATCAACCTCTTGATGCCACAGCCAGATAAGATGTGTCATAAACACATGGTTGCTTATTATGGGCTTGGTTTAATACCTCCAACAAACAGTTCAATGCCCCCAGCCGCTGTTATTTTCTCCTCAAAAGCATCACACTCTGCTTGCAAATCTGCAGCATTGCCGTCAAGGATGTGCGTATTCTCGGCTCGTATGTCGATGTGCTTGAAGAAGTTATTCCACATGAAGGAATGGTAGCTCTCAGGGTGATCTCTGGGTAGTCCTGCATTTTGGGGTTTTAGCAAAATACAGCGATCAAACATTAAATGAAATGACTTATTATTGTTTGGATATATATTGTACATCTAGCAATCCAACTTCATTCACAAAGGGCTACAGCCCACACCACATCCGCAATATGTAAAATCCACATGTAAGAAACATCCTATTTAAATATTTTTTAAGCACGTTTTTACATGTACATTATAAAATGAACCTAAAGCCACCACTTTCTGTAGGCATAAAAAAAAAAAAAAAAAAGCAGGATTGAAGAAGTTTGGTACATTCAACACTTTTATGTCTTTATTTACTGTTTGGGCTAACAATGCAAAGATACACAATCTATAATACAAAGCTTATCTGCACTTCCGCCACATTGTTATATAAAACAATGGGGCAAATTTAGCAACTCAATGAATCTGTAGCGACATTGTTCCAGAGGAAATGAGTCACTTTCGACCGGCCATCCAAGCACAATCAAGAGCTTCAATGACAGACTCAAGCTTTACTGAATTGTTGTTGGCCGATTTCCAAAACAACCATTATTTTTGTATTCTTCTCTTGGATGTTGATGCCACCAGACCACAGATGACAATGTTCCGGCAGATTTCTGAAGTTTTCGGACCAAAATGATCATTTACGAGAAAAGTGCAAATCCGTTGAGAGTGGGGTGTTCTTGGCGTTAGCAGGGAGAGTGACACGTGAGACAAGTAAATTGTTAAGAAAATTAAATGGGAAGTCAACCCCAAAATTTTCTCGACAAGAAAATAAAAAAATAAATAAAACATTTTATATATATATATATATATATAAAATTCTCCCTAACGCCATTTGTAAAACGAGAAACACAAATGTTCCATTATTCTTCCATGCATGTTTTTGGAATGAGGGAGGAAACTGGAGTACTCTGAGAAAACCACTCAGGCACCGGGAGAACATGCCAACTCCACACAGGAGGGCCGTATCTGGAATCGAATACTGCCCCTCTGTACTGTGAGACGGACGTGCTCACCAGTAGAACACCATGCCGTCACAGACATCTTATTAAGGCAAATGCAATATGCAAAAGCATAACATGTTTCCATTAGAGAGTGCTGACTTACCCACATATTCATCCATGTTGAACGTCTTGACATACTGGAAAGAGATTTCCCCTTTCTTGTAATACTCAATCAGTTTCTTGTAACAGCCTAAAGGAGTGCTTCCTGGAGACAAGCCAAAGAAAACATAAGTTTGGACCATAAGATTGTACTGGACTGTAGCTACTTCACTGGTTTTGTCACAAAAGATCACATATTATTCGTGTAGAATTTGTAAAATAACGAGGGTGTCAAACGGATACTCACCAGTCGGAAGACCAAGAGTGAAAAAACGGTCGGGTCCAGGTTTGAAAAGTAAAATCTTATTTCTGATGTACTTTGCAGCCCACTCGCTTGATGCGTCGTAGTCATTGAGGATAATCAGTTTCATTTTGCCGTTCTTAAAAACACTACTAATAATAGGACGCAGCACAATTTTACCGAAAGTTAAACTCGATGGAATTGAGGACAAAACACACTTACATCAGACTTCAGCCTAATCAGACTTTAGACTCATCAAGGTGTACACTAAATCCAGTTGCAGTACGTTTAGAATGCTGATATTACAAATTAGTTACCAAAAAAGCTGCAAAAACGTTCAGTATTGATCAAAGCTAAAACTTTTACCACACTATTCTCACGACAGACCGCGGAGAATACTGTTGCGGGGGGTTGCGACTGCTTCCAAGTGTGTGCGCCGTCTGTCTGATCATGTGATCTGCACCGTGGCGGATGGATACGGAACTCGCAGCGGAAATAACGTCATCACGCTGAGCAAGCATTTTGAGGCATTTGACTTAAAATCAACAAGTGCGTTTTCAGCAATACGTTTGTCTGCCCAGCTAATTCACAACTTTATATGCTTCGTATGTCAACGTAACATTTACCAACATTTGCGTATTAGTAACTAGTGATGGACAGGAAAGCCTGGTGAACCCTTGAAAGGCGTTTTCATCAAAATGCAAGATTGGTGGTTCGAATAACATTATTAAATTACACTTAATATGCATTCATACTGTCAATCCATCCATCCATCCATCCATTTTCTACTGCGCTTATTGTCACAAAGGTCGCGGGTATTGCTGGAGCCTATTCGAGCGGTCCTCGGGCAGCAGTAAACAGGGTACAGCCAAAAGCAGGACACACATAGAGGAACAACCATTCGCGCTCACACTCACCCCTCGGGACAATTAATGTTCCATTAACCTGCCATGTATGGTTTTGGAATGTGGGAGGAAAGGGGAGCGGGAATCGAACCCTGCACCTCCGCAGTTTGTGGCGGACGTGCTAATCAGTCGCTCACCTCGCCGCCCGCATTCATATTAATCAAAGTTAATTACAAAACTATGCCACACATTAGTTAAGGTCTTCTGTCGCCCACTGTTGGCATAAACCGAACGTCACAACAATAAGAACAAAAGTGTACTTTAATGTG